GAAAAAGTCCCCTGAAATAACAAAGCAAATACGTGCGTGAAATTTTCATTGATTAACGATAAGTATTCACTTGCGCGTAATTTTTACTGTCCTTCCTTTCTCGTCTTATCAACTAACGCATACTTCCAATCTCCTATAATAGACAAATTTCATAATTTTTTTTATCCTTGCATCATCGCGTACGGCTGAGTTATGCTCTATTAGCAAATGTATTCTGGCGGTAATCTTAATTTTGCCGCGGCCATTCGTGGATTTATTTATTAAACAATTCCCTGAGCTTTACTGAACGTACAAAGCCAGGGACGAAACAAACCCGAGAAATCTCTATTTCTTATGCGCTCGATGGCGCAATGCATTGTAATATAATAAGTATCATAAAATGGAAATCGCATTATTGTTGTTTCTTGGATGGGTTATGATCATTTATTTAATCGAGGCATGCAAAGGAATCTGCAAGTCGCTTAAATATTATGACTCGTGTGCGTATGAGCGAGGTATTCGCTCCAAGCAACCTATTTTTATATTGAAACTTACAGAGTTTCGTCGCTCGAAATTTCAATACGTGTGACTAACAGGCAGGAGTAAACTAGGCTCGTTGCGTCCTTGCGCAGCCAGACGCTATTCGACTTCCCCCTCTCGTGTCTTGGCGTTTAGATAGAAAATGGGTCGTACGATATGCCGAGGGAAAACGTAGCTTGCTCTATTAATTGTTTAAACAAGCAACCTATTCGTAATCGCCAAATTCAAAAAGAAATATGCAAGTGCAGTAAGAGATCAAAGGGGAATACTTTGCGTTGAGACGTAGTAGTAGTAGGATGAGATGAACGAGTAGGTTGAGTAGGAGGAGGAAGAGGAGGTGGTGTTGGAGGAGGTGGTGAAGGAGGTGGAGGAGGAGGAGGAGGAGGAGGAGGAGGAGAAGGAGAAGGAGGAGGACGAGGAGAAGGAGAAGGAGGAGGACGAGGAGGTAGAAGAGAAGAAGTGAGACGGAGGTAGGCAAGAAGCAGGAAAGAAAGACGGAGGAATCTCGAAGAATGTCTTGGCGGAACATTTGTCAGGGAGCTGAGTTATGTTTGCGGTCTAGGTAGCGTATTTTCGAGGTACCGAAAGGGCTATGGGAGAGCAGCTACAACGACAGGCGTAGTTTGTGTCAGAGGAGAAGGATGAGGAGGTAGGATCGGTCTTTCCTCGCGCGGTCCTCGTAAGGACAAGAGCGACTAAGCGCCCCGCGCGCGACAAAGACGGAGAGAAAATAAAAGAGTGAGAGAGGGGGGGGGGG